AAAGCTGACATAATGGTAGTCTTGATAGCGCTTTCAACTTTATTTAAACGAGCAATCCTGATAATCCAGTCTATTAGAAACCTCAGTTACATCGAAAGCTCTTCAGTCGACTGGTGCGGTCACGACTGAGGACCGTGAGTAAATGCAAATGTCGCCAGGTTTGCTTTACTGTCACTTCCTTCTAGTCACCCAACCAATGAGAGTTCTTTGAACGAAGTTCTGAGTGATAAGTGTAACCATAGCTCGGTTCTTTAGCATAAAGCTGCCTTCACACTTACTTATTTTTCGCGCGTCGTAATTAATGACCATTGACCGGTTCGTGGTAGTTAACACTGAAGGATATTGCCAAAGCATGCGAGAAAGCTGGTGTAGCCGATCTTGGCAATGGAAAAATGAAACTTCTCCCAGAAGATCCCTTTAGGATCGCGATGATACTAAAATCCACTGGCAAAAATTAATGTCGCACAAGCGAATGGCTAATTGGATGTGTACCTTAGTTCAAAGTTGCTGTTTGCAGTACAGCACCTTAGCTTATTACGAATGCTGATTCATTACCTCTGTAAAATTTCGCGAAATTCAACGCTCTTCTTCATTGTGTCTTCGTGAAATCGCAAATTAAAACCTCGCGAAAATCGCTTGGCCGATATCGAGAAATTATAAAGTACGCGCGAGGAGAGAAAGTGAAGCAAAAACTGAAAATCCGACTTTAGTCTGTCTCTGAGAGTTGATGATTACAGTATAATATCCGAGTGGAACATGGCTTGTTAATTAACCCGTTGATTCCATTGCTCGGCTGTACTGCTGTGACTCACATTCAGTTTGATCGGATGTCAATTTTGTACAGTGTATGTTGCGGTTAAAGCTTTGGAAGTCCTGGAAGTCTGCCGCTTGTTTTTTTCTTCGGTGATTTTGCCAACTGCTTCTTTCTTTCATATGTAATTTCTTTATGACTCATCCCCACAATTTTCATTTTGTTTGACAGCCATTCTTTGTCAAGGCACTCGAGCTATAGTGGTGGAGTGCCTCCTTAACGCGTATGAACCATTTCGTAAAGTCGTTCGTTTTATCATTATGTGTTCTAGCTTCTCAGTCTTGTCCCTCAGAGCACTGGTAAAAGGTTCTATTGTGTTTGGAGTAGTACATTATTGGAG